CCCGATATCTATCCTTCCCATTATCAGCAAATTATTCGAGAAAGAAGTATTTGGACAGCTCTATCAATATCTGATAGACAATTCCCTACTTTCACGTTTTCAATCGGGCTTCCGGCCCAAACATTCGACACTGTCCTTATTAATAGAAATGAGTGACAATTGGTTTGAAAATATGGATAATGGAGAAATAACCGGATTAATTTCAGTTGATATTAGGAAAGCCTTTGACTCCATTGATCATAAAATCCTATTAAGGAAGATGCAAGACCAGTTTGGTGTTCAAGATTTTGAGCTAAAATGGTTCCAATCCTATTTGACGATACGAAGCCAAGTTTGTGTTGTCGATGGCCACACATCGTTGGCTAAGGAAATTGTATGCGGAGTTCCACAGGGATCTATCTTGGGACCCCTCATGTTTTTACTATATATAAATGATTTGCCAGAATGTCTGAAAAACACAACTCCTGGCATGTACGCTGACGATACTCAAATATATGCATCTTCCGCAAGTTTCTCCGAACTAGTAACCAAACTTAATCAGGATTTAGAAAATATAGTCAAATGGCTCTCTCGAAATAAATTGCAACTTCACACAAAAAAGACAAAAGCAATGTTTATAGGATCACCCTATAACTTAAAAAACAAAGTTGGTAATGAACAGGTTATGATAAATGATAAACCGGTTACTCGATATTCCTCTTTTCCATGTCTGGGAGTAGAACTAGATGAAAGAATGAGCTGGGAAAACCATATAGACACAATATGTAGGAAAGTTGGCTCCGGTATTGGAATCATCAAAAGAGTAAAGCCGTTTGTACCGTCCGAAACACTACAAAATTTATATAATTCTCTCGTTCTCTCATATTTTGACTATTATTCATCTTTATGGGATAATTGTGGAAGCATGCTCAAAGAGAAATTACAAAAACTACAAAATAGGGCGGCAAGAATTATGACAGGTGCCAATTATGATGTCAGGTCGACAGATTTGCTCCATGCTATGTCATGGAAAAATCTGAACGACAGACATAAAATGAATAAATCGGTCTTGATGTTTAAAATATTAAACAACCACGTACTGAATATTTAAAAAAGAGTTTTGGATATAGCGGGGCTGCTCTATGGAATAGTTTACCTACGCAGGCAAAGCAAACAGAATCTTTAAGTAGCTTCAAAAATTTGATAAAATAATGTGTGCTACAGAGTCAGGCATCGAATAGTCTTGGTTTTTTAACTTTTTTATCTACGTATTTGTTATTCTATGTTATTCTATTTCATATTTAATTTATATTAGTTTTTAGAATGTAATTTGTGTGACGCCCCTCATGAAAATCATCCATGGGTGATGAGGGAAGCGTGGTTAAATAAAGTTTTACTATACTATACTGTACTATCAAGGATGCACATGAAGAACTCGGACATGGTTCCGGAGTTGAGCAGGTTCTAACACTGCTACGAAGTCGTTTTTGGATCGTGAAAGGAAGACGCTTGGTAAGGAATATCGTTGAGTCATGTGCGCAATGTCGACGACGTTTTTCTGTAAAAACAGCAGAGCAGAAGATGGCACCGCTGCCCAGACCGCGACTTCAATCGTTACGAGCTTTCGAAAGAGTCGGAGTGGATTATGGAGGCCCATTTCTAACGAAGCAAGGACGAGCCAATGCAAAGAGATACCTATGCCTATTTACTTGTCTAGCGACAAGGGCTGTTCACCTTGAGATGTCATACTCATTAGACACGGCTTCCTTCATCAATGCCTTAACGCGAATGGGACGCCCGTATATGTTATATCGGACAATGGGACCAATTTCGTGGGCGCAGAGCGGGAGATGAGAGAATTAGTTCGAGCTTTTAACCACGACAAAATTGCCCAAGAAACCACCAAGTATCAACCTATTGAATGGAAATTCAATCCTCCATCGGCCCCTCATTTTGGAGGCATTTTCGAGGCTATGATAAAGAGCGCCAAGAAGGCAATAAAGATTGTCCTAGGAGATGCAGATGTGACGGATGAAGAACTTCAGACCGCAATGTGTGGAGCTGAAAGACTGGTAAACTCACGGCCCATCACTTATGTGAGTTCAGATCCAAACGACCCGTCCCCACTTACTCCAAATCATTTTATAGTCGGACAGATCGGTGGGGTATTTGCTCCTGAAGCTCTTGGTCAAGTTGAAGCGAACAATCCTAGGAATCGCTGGCATCGAGTACAACAATTGTTACACAGCTGTTCTGGAAGCGCTGGAGAAAGGAGTTCCTTCCACGTCTTAATGTAAGCAAGAAATGGTTTCATCCCAAACATAACCTGAAACAAGGCGATGTGGTATTGATTGCTGAACCCAAAGCAAGTAGGGGAGAATGGCTTCTTACCCGTGTGATCGAAGCGTATCAAGGAAGTGACGGCCTAGTCCGAGTTGTAAAGGTAAAATCCAGGAACAAAGAATATTTTCGTCCTATACATCGATTGTGTCCTCTCGAGTATGTTGACGAACATTCGGACAATGAAGATAGATAACTGAAACGTTATATATAGAAGTGAACATAAAGGACGTTAATTAAGTCGTATTTGTTAGTATTCATTGACATTGCTAATCCCTCTATTTATTGTCTTTAAGGTGGTCTTCCACCCAAATGTTCCAATATTCGTTATTTTTTAGAAAAACGTAAAAATGTAGTCTTTATAGCGTTCTTTATAAAATCCGTGTAATTTTAAGAACGAAAATGTACCGTAAACCAGAGAAATCTAGCAAATTCTACACCTTCGTAGGGTAAAACTACGATTTTACCCGGAGCGATAAAGATATGCGATTGGTTTAGTCTATTGTTCCATTTTCAATTATATTGTTCTATCTAAGTTATTCTAATATATGCAAAAACTTTAAAATCGCTTTTCTCACGTGAGCATTTTGCGAAATACTAAAAACTCTCCTACTGTTAATACTGAATCAAACCGAAATTTTCAGAGTTTATTTGCTTGTTACATAGCCATGTCATGGACCTAAGAAACTTCATATATCAGCAATATACATTGCAAGAGTAGCCTTATAAGAACTCCTTTCTTCATATAATTTTTAAAAAGTAAAATATGAAGGCCTTATTATATGACCAGGCCCTACAATCATATATATAAATATATACCAACAAAACTGACAAGTGGACAAACCAATCCACGGTACAAAATAGTAACCGCTGATCAGAAAACTAGGATTGGATAGCGCTATAAGATGACAGCAATACTGTTGTAGATTTGTGGTGGTCACCCCAATAGGCTTCACTTAAGCATGCATATAGTCACTAAAAGTCATAATTTTCTGATCAGTTATAAAAACCCAACGAAATGCTGTAAGGGCCAGATTACATGGACATTTTTCAGCCCGGGCTGAAATTTTAGCACGGTTATTGATGTATAGAAATGTGGGAAGATACTACACACGTTTATCACATATTGTCTATCACATATATTGTATCACATATTATCTATCACATATATTGTATCACACGAGTCTTGTCATGAATAAACCAAGTCAAGTCAATTTATTTCACCAGATTTACATATATAGAATAAAAACAATGCAATAGCGTATACTGGCAAGGAAGCCCAAAGAGAAACGAAAAGCTTTTGGAATTTGGGCTCCCTTTTTACATATTCCTGAATATACAGATGCTAATATAGGCAGCGTTTACACTGTACCGTTTTCGTAGCGTTCTCGTATTGTTCGAGAGAACTAGACTATTGTCTTGCGTTCCCTTGAGGATTAAGAACAATACGAGAACGCTACGAAAACGGTACAGTGTAAACGCTGCCATAATTACAAGTGGCATATAATATCATAATTGTTCTTACAATTATAGAAAAGAAAATTAATGCAGAGCAGACAGAGAGAATTGAGATGTAAATTATTAGATACTGGAATATAATGTCCACTGTTACATACAGAAAAGATAATTTTCATTTTAAGTTGAAAACATGAAGCAGTTGAAGCATTTCGAATATCTTGGCTACAGTGGTGGAAATCTTGGTGGGGGGGGGGGGGCGCGGAAAATTGACGAATTTTCGGAAATTTTCAGTCTTTTCGAGTGCAAATGGGGGTATATATACTTTATAATTCAAGAGAATATTCCTCAAAAAAATCTTGCTAAGATTTTAATAAATCTTTTTCTTGCTAAGATTTTAATGAATCCTGCTAAGGTTTTAATAAATCTTGCTAAGATTTTAATGAATCTTGCTAAGATTTTAATGAATCTTGTCTTGCTAAGATTCAGTTTAATGAATCTTGCTAAGGTTTTAATAAATCTTGCTAAGATTTAATGAATCTTTTTAAGATTTTAATAAATCTTCCTAAGATTTTAATAAGATATATTTTTTTTATTCTGATAAGATATAATTTCTTAATTCAAGAATAACTTTCTTACATAGAAACATTTTGTTACGTACGGGACAAAATCTTGGTAAGATTTTTGTAAGATGTTGTTCTTAAGGTGGCTACCAACATTTTACTAGATCTCCAATTTAGACCCAAATTTTCAACAATTCCTATATGTTTAAAAGACAAAGAATGTCCAATTAGAAAAATAATAACTACAGAGTTGAGTTTTTTCGAAAAAAGGAATCGCAACTGCCTTTGCTATGGCAACAATGACGCTTCAAATCAATATGGCCGATATTTTGGGTTTAAAGTTGTTTAACTTGAAAATAAGGTCGGTTAACCCCCATTTTTTATTTCATAAAAAGAATTCGTTTAGTATTTTGAATTATTGTTATGATTTTTAAAAATTTCTGTCATGCGAAAAAAAATTGTTACGAATTATTACATTTTCCGATCTTGAAAATTTTGACATGACAGAATTTTTTAAAATCACGACTTAACGGAAGTATTCTGAAGAAAACTTGAAATTTATAACCTTCCTTAGATCCTTTGCATCTGCAGTATTTCACACCATTCCGAAAGTTTCTTGTGAAATTGTCAGACGATTTAAATCAAGTTTCCGTGATTGTGAAGATGAAAGAATACTTGAATAGCAAAGGTTATGAAAATATACACCACTTTGCTCATCAAGAAGTTTCCTCGTTGGATATTCTTCAAGCAATGATGCAAGCTTTTCTAATCTCGCCACAAAATTTATCTTTATTGAGAGAAATGATGGCATTTTGTTCCAGGAATTACCTCGTACAACGCATTGACGAGTTTAACAACAACAGTGCCGTTTTCAAAAAAGGTTTGTGCGTTTCTGTATCCGTTTTCACGTAGTCCATTTGAATTAAACATAAGCTATCTAGTAGTATACAGAAAAAATAATTTATTTTAGGTTTCCTCCTGTAGTATGACTGGATCTGGATCAGTAAGAGATGATCGTTACTGGACCTCCAGGAAGAATAATTTAGAACTGATAGAGCTATCCAGTATAAGTAAAGTTAGTTTGTGTTTCCTTCTGTAGTAACACTGGATCAATAAGAGGTCACCCTTACTATATCTCTAAGGAAAACAGTTACAACTATCCAGTATAAATAAAGTTTGTCTCGTTATTTATTAGTTCCATATGGATTGCGCAATCTTCCTCGTGATATGGTGGACCGTCCATCGGAAGTGGATGACATATTGACCTTACTTAAGGCGGGGAATAATAGAGTGGGTGTGGTCGGAGTTCGTAGCGGTGACGTCATTGGTATTCGTGGTATGGGAGGCCTCGGTAAAACCGTCTTAGCCCAAGCCATTTCTTGGCGTGTCGCAGTGGCCCGTCAGGTTATCTGGCTTGACATTGGCCAGTCTCCAGACTGCTTAGCATTAATTAACACCCTCGTTAAAGCTCTTGGGGGAGCAGTATCATTCAGTGATATCCCCAGCGCGCAAGCCTGGGTACGAGAAAATACGGTATGTATGTTTGTAATTCTCATTAATAAATCATGAAAAAACAGAAAGGAAATAATGATCGAGAAGGAGCTTTTATATCTGATGCAAAATCCAGCTGATTTACACGAACTTTGAGTCCATTTTCTCACCAAATATCATTCATGTGTTTAAGATGAAGAATACGAAAGTTTCACTGGCTATATGCAGCCAGGGAGCTCTAAACAGGGTGTTTTAGAGCGCCCTGATACAGCATTCGCGCGCGTGTGTTGTATAAGATAGATATTAAACACTTCGGCTCATGTTTGTATATATGGCTGCTATCTCGCTGCCCAGTTTTGGGGGAACACGAATGCAGCGGGTGATAGTCTGCTACTGTAAGTCGGTACTTTGGTTGGGTAACTTCTCTATGAAGTCTTAGTTGTGGAGCACGTGGACAACCACACTCTGTGTATAGTCAACCTAAATGATATTCTGCTAACTAACTACCTGTAATTGTTTTTGTTTGTGGAAACACCACGTAAATTTATTACTGCAAAGCTTTCGATCCTTAAGCCCGGATCTTCATCAGTGCTAATAATATGTGACTTGTTTAATTCACACGCTCTTTTTATATACAAGAGTGTCGTGATCTGTTGGCTCGCGTCATTTGAAATTTAATTAAACGGCACATCAACCACGTCATTTCAAACGTAGTGAAGTGATTCCAATTAACGCGCGCGCATCCAAGACAAGAGAAATTAAATTTGCACATTAAAGAGAGCACGCCACGTACTATCTAGTGGCTTTCCCTCCTGATCTATAGTATTGTGCTTCTCGATTTCAATTGACTCTCTCATTTTGCGAGAGAACTTATGACTATCAATCGCCAAAATGGTTGCTTCGTCCCATTTTATACGATGGTCGTAAGTCCAAGTATGTTTAGCCACAGCAGATTTATCTTGCTCGGCTTTCTCGCAATTCGTCTTGTGTTCCTTAAGACGTACTGAGAGATTTCGACCAGTTTCACCAATGTAAACCAGACCACATTCACAAGGAATGCGGTACACACCAGGTTTCTGAGATTCATTTACGTTGTCCTTATGTGTGCAAAGAGCTCGAAACAATTTGTTTTCGCTGGAATGGTATACCTTTATACCTGCTTCATTCCTCAAAATTCTTTCGATTTTGTGTGAAGCCGGACCAATGTATGGTAGACAAACAGACGACTGATATTCAATCTTCTGCTGTATACTTTGTGGCGTTTTCATAGCATTATCTATGAAATGCCGTGGGTAACCATTCATTTTTAGAACATTTCTTAAATGTTCTAATTCATCGTCAATGTTACTTACCTCACAAATTGTTATCGCTCGGTTGATGAGTGTCTTGCACACAGAGTTTTTAATACTAGGATGATGAAATGAATTATAATGCAGATACCTGTCTGTATGTGTTGGTTTCCTATAAACCTTGTGTCCTAGCGACCCATCATCATGTATAGTGAAAAGAACATCTAAGAACGGTATAGTTATAAAAAGAGCGTGTGTATATAAAAAGAGCGTGTGAATTAAACAAGTCACATATTTTAGCACTGATGAAGATCCGGGCTTACGGATCGAAAGCTTTGCAGTAATAAATTTACGTGGTGTTTCCACAAACAAAAACAATTATATTTTATCGCCATGCAAACATTCAAAGAACTTATAACTACCTGTAACTAAATGTGTTTGTAGGTTAATAAAGATTGTCTACTAGTTCTTGATGATGTTTGGGATATTGAACATGCCAGCGTTTTTGATTACTTATCTGGAGAATGCCAATTACTAATAACAACAAGAGATTCCAGTGTCGTTCGTGGCTTGAAAGGTTCTGCTGTGTACGAACTCCAAATTATGGCACAGAACAAATCCAGAGCGCTCTTGTATCAAAGCGCTCAAGTAACGTTAACAGAAAAGTCGAAATTTAGTTCGAACATGCAACGAATTGTTGTAGAATTGTTAGAACAATGCCGTGGTCTACCGCTGGCTTTATCACTCGTGGGCTCAATTTTAACGGACACTCGTGTCGAGCAAGACTGGCAAGATATCTTAGACGACCTTAAGAATGCTGACTTGGCAGAATTACGATCACTGTTTCCCAATGGCACCTACCCGTACGACAGTCTTTTAGCAGCCATTAATGTGAGTTTTCAACGTTTGCAGAAAGGAGAACAAGAAAAATTCTTAGATTTTGCAATATTTCCTGAAGATACGGATATACCGTCAGATATTCTCGAGCTGTTTTGGTCTTCACAAGGTTCTGGGAGAAATACGTGTAGCGCTCGGGCAGGAAGACGCATACTTAGCGTACTTGAGAGAAAATCAATGATTCAAAAAGGTATAGAAAGGGAGAAGGTTCGAGTGCACTGGGCACCCCAGGGTATTAGAATGCATTGGACGCATTGATTTGGTAAAGCTACGTTTACACGATGCGATTTGTCGTGTGCGATTCGTATTCTGGCTTATTCTCTTCATTCATATTATGGCGAAATTTGAAATGCAACCACTTCACACGTGCTTATACTTGATTACATACGCCAGAATACGAGCTTAACGTGGCGAAACGTGACTTAATAGACAGATTTAGATCGAGGACGCGGACGTCAAAGACGACGTGAAAATGTCGTCAAAATGGTGTGGCATATCCTTACATGGGCACAACACGTCCGCGTCCTTGACGTCCGCGTCCTCGATCTAAATCTGTCTAAGGGACTGGTCATAAAGTAACTGCTAGGGTGGGCTGGAGGTAAATCACAAATTTTGCCAATAAGTTCGGTGACCCATCTTAGGATGTAGATAAAAATTTCAAAGCCCATCTTATCTTACAAAAAATTTTTCATGACCCACCCAATCTTAAATTGGGAAAATACACTTTTATAATAAATAAAACTTGCAGGTATGAACATTGTAAAATACACGGCACTGTATTGACACACATAATTCCACCAAGCTTGACGAACGCGTTGATACTGAGCTGCTCTCCAGTTGGTTGTATTTGCTGTGATTCGACCACGTCTTGTTGTTGTATAAATAAAGTACTGCTTCAATAGCATCATTTGCATTTGATAATTTGGATAGTTTTGTTCACTTTTATTATTAACATATTTATTTTTTGAAGTAGACATTCATGGGTTTTTGTTTAGTGGCCCAACCGTGGGCATACAAAAAAATTGGCGGCCCATCAAAACTGCCCAAAGATTTTCCATGGCCCATCCCAAATCACTCCAGCCCACCCTAGCAGTTACTTTATGACCGGTCCCTAATATCAGCAGGGCGACTCACAAGGGGAAAAATTAATATTCTGCGGAGAACTATTTCCACACGCACTGATTAGGCAAGGGCGTAGCAAACTATGGCGCCTGGATACGAGGCTGCAGAAGGTACCTCCATAATATAAGGGGCTAACTACAAATTCAAAACTTAATCTAAACCAAGTTTGAACATTGGCTGCCTGCACAAAAACAAAATATACAGGCATGACCAGATGATTCGTCTGTGCGTTTATACACGGAAGAATTATCAATTTTCCTTTGTCCATGCAAGTTCGTCTTGACAGATCATCCACTTTATACACAGACAGATCATCTGTCTGTAGTGTAAGACCGGCCATTATCATTGAACGATCCCTAACGACTCTTTTTCAGGACCTGAACTGCAAGGGAAGAACAGCTACCGTGTTCATGATCTTCTCTTGGACTTTGCACGAGGAAAGCTTCGCGATACAATAATCGAAGTTCAATACACGTTTCTTGAAGCGCTTCGTTCTCAATGTATGAATGAAGAATGGGCGAAATTTCAAGGCAATAAAGAGTATCACTTTAGGTACGCAATCCTTCAAATACACTAGAAATATATCAGTTTGGAGTAGGCACATCGCATGTTTACTAGAATAAACTGGTTTAGCATTAAATTGAAATTAATTTAAAATCGTAATCACCTTCCTAGCTTGCAGTCTTTTTTTGTGTTGATGTTCTAGTAGAGCTGATCACCTGTCCGTATTTATTTATTTATGTTTATATTATGTATTTATTTGTTTATTTATTATTAAATTTTGCCACAATTGTTAAATCAGGTCAGCTAGGACGCACATAATTCTGATTATTATTATTGTTACTAGGTATTTACCCTATCACCTACACTCGTCCGAGCAATATGGAGAACTACTTAAACTGTTCTTTGACTTTCATTGGCTGCAACAGAAAGTAAAAGAGACAAATTTGCCATCTTTAATTTCCGATTTCCGTTTCTTGGGTACGGCTTCGCACGAAATTAAACTGCTCAAATCGTCGTTAATGTTATCTGCTGACGTCATCGAGAAAACGCCCGATTCTATGGGTCCGCAACTGTTAGGTAATAGTGAGCTTAAGCAAGCGACGTTTTTGTCAACCCGGACGTAACCCGAAAATTGGTGTGTCTAATTTTGGCGGCATGTTATCATAGCGCTCGTGTAAGGAAGCAGAAATCTTATGTTTTGTCATATGTGTTGAAGATTACCACAAACTGATACAAACACAGTTTTCAATTTTATTTTTTTTAATCCAGTCCCCTCGGCAATCTGACGTTCGTGTTGACAAAAACGTCGCTTGCTTAAGCTCGCTATAATTCAAATCATATACCGTAGTTTGCCGAATAAAACTTGGGTTAGCTTCTCTTCTCTAATCTTAATACTAGCTGCCCTAAAATGTTCTTCCTATAGAGTCCAGTAAATTAAAGGTCATCTCAGTCTTACTGATCCAGTGTTACTAGCGAAGGAAACCTAAACTAAATTAACTTTAGTTGAATTAGACTGTGTCTGTGGAGGTACATAACGGTCAATTCTTTTTCATGCGGTCATTACTGCAAAAGGAATTCTAAACTGAAGGTCAAGCTTGGGTAACTCTATCACCAAGAATATTAAAACAGCAATATCTCACCCATACTAATACTGATGTATTTTTGCAGGTAGATTGCTATCTTCTGCCAACGAACACCCAACTGTGAACGCCCTTATAAAACGCGTTCGTGAATCGTGTACAAAGACTTGCCATATTTTACCACTCTTTTCTTGCCTCTCCGAACCCGTTGGGCCACTGATCAAGATATTTAGAAAGCATACTGATAAAGTACTAGCATTACTTACGTCTGTTAGTTCAACTGGGACCACTGTTATTTCTGCATCAACAGACCGTTCAATCAAGATTCATGAACTAGAAACGGGTTTGTAGCTTTATCTCATACCTAGCGTATTAGCGGCCATCCTATTGGCTACGAGGAGGTGCGGCCATCCTATTGGCTACGAGAATTCATCTTTTGTGCTTAATAACTTTCGAAATACTATTTCTAGTTAAACGCTTTTAGGCTTACTTCAAAGCCTGCTCTTTTCTCTTTCAAACAAAGTATTATCCTTGTCTCCAATGCTAGTAATAATTGCACAGGAAAAGATTTAGTAAAACCTATCATTTTTAGTTGCTGTTTAATTATGCAAGTTTACTATGTTATTGTTTAGTCGGTTTAAATGTTAGAATTTTCTTCTTTAAACTTTAATGTTGTGGTCACTACATCTGGAAAACCACATATAAGAACAAATTAAAAGTATTTTAAAAGAGACCAGGTTGTTTGAAAATCCTAAACGAATGCTAAAAATCGTCGAAACATTCTGGTGTCTGAGCCAGAGTGTCATCGAATTGCGATGTAATGTAAACAGAAATTATAGCAAGTTGATGTCAGTCAGCTTAGATGGTCCAAGCCAAAATTATATCGCATTTGAAGTTTCAAACTGAGTTAAAAATAGTGGAAGAAAAGCCGTAATTATACTTATTGTTACAAACAAACAGTTTTATCACTTATAACTCTAATAAGTTTTTTGAATAACTTAGAAACTGTTTTTTTACCGCGAATATGCTGGTTTTTAACCTAATCTAAATTAGCATTAGTGAGTGTTTTAGTAACAAATTATAAGTCTGCGCATACAGTACATATATGTGAATGTGTATTTTTAAGTATTTAGTCTAATCTTATTCGTTTTCTTAAACAAATACATGTAAAATTAGTTTTAATATCCTTGTAAACCTAACATATTTCAGCAGTGGAATTAGTTATATTCTGGAGCTGTAAGTTTTAGTGTCAAATAAACTATCAAACTATCAAACTATCAAACTTATTACATATCTCAAAAAGTATATGTACAGTCTATTAAATATTCAGGATTTAATTTTTGGGCATCTACACTTGATACTGCATAACTAATATTTATATCCAGTATGTGTTTGTAAACCATGTGGACAATTCAGGTAGCAAATCATGAAATATGCCCCATGCCCCTTGTGAATCTGGAGAATCATTCCAATGACTAGTTCACAATATGTTCATCTCTAGCCTTTGGCAACTAGCTGTTTTTCTTTACTAGCAGATCATGTATACATGGATAAAATAAGAGAAATCTATTTACCGTTTTACAGATTAATTTAATTGTTTATATAATCATACTTGGAATTCGGATGAATATCTTTATCTTCACACTGTATAACAGCAACTTTTTCTCATTAATTTACAGTAACTTTCTAAACTCAGATATTCTCACATGGGACAAATACTTTAGTATCGTTGTATTGTTTACAAATTAAAATATTAAATTGATTTCATAAACTTCAAGAATTCCTTGGGAATTCTTAAGGAATTCCTTTAAAATTCCGTGATAATACGTGTGATTGATTGTCTATAGTAAGGAAATATTAAAGGAATTTCAGAGGAAATTTTAGAATTTAGATAGTTGTAATCATGTGTGAGCACATATTTTGTGAAACTGTTTCAAAATAAAATTGCATTTCAATTAATAAAGAAATGCAAGAATGTGAAAGAAACCAAATTATATACAGAGAAACTTTAAAGTGGGAAAGAGATAGGGTGGTGAAATACGGTTAGTGTTCTAAAATATTGAAGCATATGGTTAATATATGTTTATGCATGGGACCTGCCTCGTACCCAGGCGCTTACATGAAGTATTCAGGTAGGCATCCGACGCGCGAAGGGGCTGTTGGGAAGGGTGCGTGCACTCTTCCCATCAGCCCCTTCGCCATCTCTCCCCACGACAATACTTCATGTAAACACGTCATATGGGCATCACTGCTTTTTTACAAAGAGACGCCTGGGTACGAGGCAGGCATGGGACTAGCATATTGCACTATCTCGTGAAAAGGGAATATAGCGTTGAATACAAACTATAAAAACCCATTCATATTTAAATTTTACAAGTAGACAAATTTTAAGCCTTCAGATAACTATAATTCTTTATATAGTACCTTGCAATTGTAGGGCTAACCCATAATATAAAGGCATGACTGTTGTGTGCTTTAATTACTCCACAAGAAATAAGGTGCAAGGGATATTGGTAAACAAGTATTACCAATCAATCCTATTCCCTTTTAATTATAATGTCCACTGTGGTCAAAGCACTCTATAATAATTATTATTTACTCTCTAACAGCAGATGATCTTACTCATCAAGGGCAATTTGTACCTTGATGAGTAATACGCATACAAAATACTAAACTGTTTCATTACATATTTTATGTCTGAACCTTTGACATTGCAACAAAATAGGTTTGGGTGGGGTAAAAAATAGTGATGGGCGATACCGAGTACTTGGTATTCGATACCAGCGATACCACAAACAGCGGTATCGGTATCGATTACTGACGTGGTATCGTTCGATACTTGCACCCTTTTTTAAACGACATGTTTAATTTCACTTCTTGGTTGAATAAGACTTAATAAACCACTAAAATAACTCTTAATATTCGGCCAAATGTGGTGTGCCAAGTCAGGTATAGAAAATATTTATTACGTTTTGGGCTTTTGCAATTGGTTTACTTATAGCTTTAGTTGAGGTTACATACAGTAATGTAAAATGTTTTTCCGCTGACCGGCAGGTATCTAAAGTAGCCGATACTAGCAATTTAAGTACTCACTTCCGGTATCGAAAATTGAAATTTTGTGTTTATTTTGGTATCAAAATCGGTATCGGCCGATACCGATCTTAAAAGTATCGGTATCGGTATCGAATTAAAAATCCTGGTATCGCCCATCACTAGTAAAAAAATTTTCTGGCATTCCACCGGTGGGGTAGCTAGAAATTTTGTTTCGAAAAAGGTGGGGTAATGATTTTTTCCGGCTTCATTATACTTTCTCTTCGGCCCCCACCCCTGCCATAAATAATGACCGGTCCCTAAAAATGTAAAATGCGTAAATTCTCCAGTACTTTTTACCGAAATGACATGTGATAGAAAACAAACGGGAAACGTCCAGCCACCTTCGGTGCGTCCAATCCTGGACTCACCTCCCTGCAAGTATGTTTGTTATAGTATGACACTAGCACCTTAATACCCCGCGTGGTATTATAATTCGCACAACGGCATTGGTACACGCGAAGTGAAACTGATAAGCGAAAAATAATCTCCGCCCAAACGACGTTTGCTGCTGTAACATACGCGACAAATTGTCTATATATGTCGGTAAACATTTACCATCGTCAGTGACAAAAAAGAGTGGGATGAATTTCTTGAAAACGTCAGGAATCCAATGTCATTTTAACAAAAAACCTAGTGGTAAGCGACAGACGAAATTAAAACTGCGCAAAAATATCGCATTTATGATGAAATTAAGTGGCGCGAATTTAAAACTGAGCGCCAAATTAGTACCGCGCGAATTTGAATACAATAAGGTAATTATTTTGTGAGGACCACGTGCAGGTTTATCAGCTAATTTGCTGTCTGCTGTTGAGGTATTTATTTAAATAAAGTTTTATCTTTTTGAACAGGTAAAGAACTGCAAGTCCTCGAAGGCCATACTATGGCAGTGTATTGTTTGGCTTTGTCACATAGCGGCACAATCCTGGCATCAGGGTCTTATGACTCTACCACAAGGCTCTGGAACTTGGATAGCTATGAAGAGCTCTTTGTGTTGCAAGGAGAAGGTGGTTTTGTAAATGCGCTGGATTTCAGTGCAGATGACCAGCATCTTTATACCGGGTCGAATGATGGTCAGTAACAATATATAATCGTGATTTTCGCCAATTAATAAACATTCACAGAAATAAATAAATTTAACGTAGTGCAAGTCCGAAAGGAATTCAAAGTATGTATGTTGAATTCCTTTTTATCACCATACATTGTTGTCTATTGGTGAAACTACTGTAAGAGTTAATATAAATTATGACAAAAAAGATTTAAGATAATATTGGCTGTTCCCTAAAAAATCTGAATGATTTCTTATTGTTTTTATTGAAGGGAAACTGAGAATCTGGAATGTGGAAACGGGTGAACCGTTGGATGCCATTCCTGCACATGATGGACATATCCGTGGTCTGTGTATGACTTTGGATGGACGGTACATTGCTACTGCGTCTCTGGACCACACTATCAAGTTATGGCGTGCTGATACATTAAATATTCAAGCCACTCTGATTGGCCATACTGATACTGTGTACAGTGTAGTGGCAACACGTATGTAAATGCAAATTATTTGTTGAGGAACGTCTATAATTTAACTCAACGTTATCGCAATGGAATTTACTTTAAATTCTGGTTCGTCTTAAAAGTTATGTATCATACACAGGAAGTCGTTTATTATAGTCATTTTAAAAAACATCAAACTATGTAAAATAATTCTGTAATACTTATTTCAAATCGCTATATTAACCTCTTCGTGTATATGATATATCACTTATAGTCATTCTCTTTTAGGTTTAGGAAGCGGTAGTCCAATGCTAGTCTCCGCATCGGGTGACAAGACGTTAAAAATTTGGAATTTAACAACGTACCAAGAAGTTCGTACCCTTAGCGGACATCAAGGCGAGATCTACAGTGTTGCTGTGAGCCCGGATTGCAAGCATATTATATCTGGGGGCAAGGACATGATTGTTAGACTGTGGTGCTTCCAAACTGGAAAATTGCTTGTCTGTTTTAAAGGTCACAGTCAGTCTATCAGGTGTGTTATTTTGTAATGCTTGACAACAGCCGCACAAAAAAGGTGGACTTGACAGATTAGTCTTTTGGTTCTGTTCCGATTCGTCCATTCGATCGACAAGAATAGATCGAGATTCGTGAATCAGCCTCAGTGTATACTATAAGCAGTTGACGGTAGGGGTGCACCGGAACCAGTTTTTTAAGTTCCGTCCGGAACCGGATCCGGCCGGAACCGGAACTAATTTATTAAGCCATATATAGTCATATGTTACTTTGTCCACTGCCAGACAGGCAGACACTTCAAGTCATAAAGGAGAGAACTCGCAAATGTTAGAATAAAAAGATTGACAAGCGTTAAACGTCATAATGAAGTGTTAGTAGTGTACATTTCCCTTGCGTAGTCCAAATTTCTTCCTACTGTGACCTTTTGTTAGACACAAAAACGTTTGATATTCTATCTCTCTGAAAACAACAGAGTTCCGGTTCCGGCCATGCTTTTTTTACTAGTTCCGGCCGGAACCGGAACTCTAAAAAATCGGGGTTCCGGCCGGAACTAACCGGCCGGAACCGAGTTCCGGTGCACCCCTAGTTGACGGACGCGTAAAATATTTGTCCAGTGGTTCGATTCTTCTAACCGTTGTCAACAATTAATTCTCTTATAACATTACAGATCTGTGGCGATAATGTCCGATGGTTCTAAAGCATTGTCGGGCTCGCAAGATGAGAGTTTTCGAGTGTGGGATCTGGACACTAGTGTGTACTCGAAACAAAATGGGTCACGTGGTCATTTGGAAGACGTTATCGACATTGCAATGACACGTGATGGCTCGAGATGTGTGTCTTCCTCCATGGATGGAACTTTGAAAATTTGGAAATGTGCGAGCGCGGAGGAGTGCTTCACTTTGCGAGGTATTTTGCCCGATAACCAGTTTACCCGATAACCAAGTTATCAGTCAGTAATCAGTAAGGTGCTCTGTAGTAAGGGTAATGCAGCGCATGGAGTACTGTACCTAGTGTCCCAAAGGCAGTGAACTCTATATATATATATCTGGAATGATAACAGCGAGCGAAAAGTGAAGCCGACAGAAAAATCACGACATAAGTATTCGTCATTGTCTTCGTCATCAACTGTTCAAGAACTTTCTTACAGTATTAAAAATCACTTACATATATAAAAATTTGTAATTGTTTTGAAAGTTTTTATCCAAGTTTTATATCTTTATTCACTTTTAACTTGAAGATGGAGTTACTATACTCCGAAACGTAGGTATTAAAATAATTTTTTACCAAGACCATATGGTCTAATTTATATTCAAACCCACGTACATATTCATTTACATTTTGCTGGCAGGCAAATTCCCATCACACAATAAATTCTTTAAAAAATAACGTACCAGTGTATTGACTAAAAGCTATAAAATTAAAAAACAATTCAAACAATCGCGAAAAATGGCAACGGCAAAGTCACAGTTGCAAGTCAATTTACCTACCTGTGAAATGAAATTTTCTCGCAAGAATATCTCTTTCCTTGTGCATCCAGAACGACAGTACGACACAATATATTTGAAAAAGTGATTCTTTTCTTCACACGGGAAAGTTTTCCTCGACTTTTTTTCCGACAGCGAACTCAATGCAGTAAATTTTAGGAGCAAAACAGTTTGCTCCTAAAATGTATTGCATTGAGTTGGCCATGTTTTTAATTTTTTTTCGTGATTGCGTTCAAATTTATACTGGCCGTGCAACGGTTTGTAAGAGGGGGAATGAAACTGACGTCCAATCCGCGTAAACCTGACGTTTGAGGGACTGAGACTGACGTCCAATCCGCGTGAAAGACTGGTATCGAGGCTTCATTGTTTTCACAATCAAATGACTGAATGTTATCGTTCCAGATATATATATATATATATATAGAGTTCACTGCCCAAAGGTCGCGGGTTCGATTCCCAGAGTAACATCACAGACAGAACTCAGAGTAACATCACAAACATTGATAGTAATAGTTCATTTGAGTACCGATTATAAGTCTCTTAAGAGTGTCTTCTTTAAAATTTATCCAGGTCACACGAAAAGAGCAATAAGCGTTTCTATCTCAACTGATGGTCGTCACGTTGTGTCGTTAGCGAAAGATTCTTTGATCAAGGTAATTTAGTCATATTTCTACTGGAGTTGGTGTTTTGATGTGTAAATCCGCATAATTTACTGACCCAGATTATTAATTTGAACGTCACTCCTGTCTGTGGAACAAATTAACCCGGATCAGGAGCAGCCTATATTAACTCTGGTAGGCCAAAGCATTGATGCCCGTTCATAAGGAACATTTTCATCTTAACATATATTACGGAGTGTACAATAACACAACTTAACATAACACTTGCAGAACTATATAAGTGTTGTTCGATGCTGAATTAATATAAACGAGTATGTTTATGACATTCAGTATATATTTCATAATTTCCAGTCTTAAATCCGTCTGACCGTGTAGCTCAATTGGTAGAGCGTCGATCTAGTAATTCGAAGGTCGCGGGTTCAAGACCCAGCCGCGCCAGACAACATCTTTCTGCTTGCGCTGGGTATGGAAATTGTATACTACACACTCTAGAACATTTTCATATATATATATATATATATATATATATATATATATATATATATATATATATATATATATATATATATATATATATATATATACGGATGAAACAGACTGTTGTGGTTTTTTGAGGTAAAACGAAAAACTATATTACGCTCTATCTATATGGTGTTTCGTAAACCAAAATCTTAAGCTATATATACGTTGTAACTCCCTAATCTCTAAAATTCATTCATTACTACATTATACTGAATGGTATAAAGTAAACTAGATCTTGAAAACGTTTGTCGTTTTGTCAGGAAAAATCGCAAAACGTAGCTGACGCGAACCGGCTTTTGTAACCCGAAGCGAATGACAACAACGCAGCTGAGAGAATAAATCCTTCTCACGCATCACACGTTTACATTGAAATATTTTCCAGCAAAACCATTCTCCTACAACTATCATAGAATGATTTAACGCACTCGTTAGCTTCAAGCAACTTCTGGTTTCAGCAGGAAAAATCGCAGAAGACAACTCGTGTTCGACTAAAAAATCTGGATGGGCATTGGAAGTCTCCTGCTGGTCCGCTTAGTCTGATACAAGTGCATTCAGTTTTCATAATTTTTTTTTTTTTTTTAAAGTTTTCGCCGACTTAGTTTCTGACGAAGGCTGTTACATGCAGTCGAAAATTTAAAATTTTTGAATTATATATTCTAATTTCTTTTGGTCGTGGCCTTTATTTTGTATAATATTATTAATGTTCAAAAGGCTGAGGCAGATTTCGTTCCTTGTCACTCATTATATATATATATATATATATATATATATATATATATATATATATATATATATATATATATATATATATATATATATATTATAT